ACCTACATAATTATGGCGTGATTTTTAATTTAGTAATTTTAACACTATTTTAGGCGGTTTTGATTGACATGAGTTGAAATTCAAATTCAGCTGGCCCAAAATCTCCGGGCGGAAAAAATAAAGTATTATATTTTCAAACCCATATGCGTAATTATACCGTTTTGTTCGCCAGCTTCTCAATTAATAACTTAAGATGTTGGAGTATCCAATGGTTTAAATTATTTGAAATTTTATCTAATGAAATACAAATGATTTGGTATCAAAGTTTGTCCAAGTAAGGTGGCAAAATTTCAACGTGTCAAAACTTATTACCGGATGGTGCGAGACGTGTCGTATTTTTACACCCCGCTTACCTTACTGGTGCTCTAACGTTTGTAAAAAGTGGAAATGAGATCGTGCACAGCATGTTGTTCCTATAACGTGATAAAACTCTTTGGTGACTTTTAATTTGACAATTCAATTCAAATGGTCGGCTTTTTTTTTTTTTTTTGATGTGTAAAATCTTTCCTCTCCTGCAATTTGTGGGAGTGATTTCGTGAAATGGGATGGAAGTGTGTAATAGTAAGTAGCAAAAGCGCGTGCTATTTGATTTGAGTTTAGAACATAATGTTCAAATGACTTAATTATTCCTTTTGTAGTAGGTTTTATTTCTTTTTTTACTTATATAAGGTGAGGTTTCAAATGTTACACATCATACGCTACTATTGTAAGGCTCGCTCGTTTTTTTTATGTCTGAACTAGAAAGTTTTTAATAATATTGTTGTTTAAACGAAAGTCTGTATATAAATTTCAATATTACTACTATTCATATTTTTTTTTAGAGATTGTGAATATTGTGAGGTACGAAAACACTATTAAGTAACCAGTATTTTGGTAGATTTTAGAGTACCCCGAGGCTAACAACGTAGCCTTTTACATAACCTCTGCTTTTCATCCAACCGCCCATCGGTCAGCATCATTATGCGATAAAGAAAACAGCTCAAATTTTCCCAGAATACGCATTTCTTTTTACCTATTTATTTTATATAGGAATCGTGATTTTTTTAATGTTTTTGCTCGATCTAGTGTCAAGAACAGTGCATGGAATCCTTTATATGCGTTGTGCGAGTCTGACTTCGAATCATTATTTGATTTATTAGTACGGTTATTAATACTGTTACAAATGAGGGCATTTAGCATTGTAATTAAATAATTAACCAACCTGGTCCGCGTGGAATATTTTCTAGTAAAAATTTCTTTAGATTTCAACATCTAGCAGTTAAATGCTTCAAAAATCCAAAAATATAACAAATTTAGAAAACACGTTTTCTAATTTAATTTAGTCATATCATATTTTATTTTATATTGTTTTAAACTTTCATAGTCACTAACATTATAGCTATTAACGGGATTGTTACCATGTACCTTGTTTTTTATGAGTCTCCGATATTTCGGCACTGTTGCAAGTGCCATGATCACGGAGTAACTGAAGTAATTGCGGGTAGATGTTATTGGCAGATATATCGGTCTACCCTCTGACGTTGTCTTTTACTGAGCTCGATACCCTACCATTCCTACCATTGGTCACATTTTCACTATTCACTCGCACCTGTTCCCGACTCACAATACTCACAGTATCAGATCGTGGAACGACACTTTTTTGATTTTATCGGTTTTTGCACATATGAACCACTGGATTCCAGACACTTGACAATTTAAACCCATCCTCACGATTGAATTTTTTGTGTTTGGTTATTTCAATCGCTTCCCTGACCAATCTTGGTATGTACATACCAATATTTAATTTTCTTGTTAAAAGGGTGGCCAACAAGCGTATGACCTAACTGACGGTATGCGACTACCAAAGCCTATAAACACTTGCGATACCAGCACTGCGGTTCAAATAATTAAAATATCACTTTTTTTTTATTTAATTTTTATATTATATAGGCTTACGCTTGATGGCCACGCGACTGATGAAGAGTGACGTAGCAGCCTAAGGTGGGACGCGCTTGCCTAGAAGAAATCGATTCACTCGCGACTTGAAGAGCCCCAGATTATAGGTGACTGGAAACAGAGATTCCGGCGAAGAGTTCCACAACCTAGCTGTTCTGACGATATAGGTGGAAGCAAACCGTTTAGTATGAATAAAACTAGTTTTTACGGGTTAATGCACGAAACTTAATTATTATTTAAATAAACTCAAAATTACAAACAAGAATTTTAAATAAAATACTTTATTAAGTAAATTAAATAATAAATTCATACATAGACAATAAAATTTTAAAAATCTTCCAATGAAATAACCGAACGCTCAATATAAGTCTTTCGAAGGTAGCTCGACAATTTTAAATAAAAAATCATTATTCTGACGATGCAGACCTGAAAAGGCTGCGAAACGTCAATAAATAAATAAAGTTTCGTGCATTAACCCGTAAAAACTAGTTTTATTTAATGAGTGATGTGCGTGAAAACCTAAGAAACAAATACGTTTATTATAGTATGAGTTTGCGGGTCCTCTACGGTATATCTGTGGCGTTTTGCCGTCTCTCTGGTGGTTCTGTGTTCACTTGCACCATTGCCTACTACGACCCAATCTCTTACCCTGTGGAGCCCTGGAACCTTACTCACCGAGAGAAACACAACACCACCAAAGGGCAGTTTTATTTTACAGTGATCTTTAGTAAGGTGGAGGTTACTTCCCCAGACGGGTGCTCCAATACGAGTGGAAAATCTCTCTTATGATTTTATTTGTTTGTTATATGTATAAGTCTGAAATAGTTGGAACCCTGTATCCGATCAGACTTAAAGTAAAAATAAAACTTTCATGATTCGAATTAGATGCATAAAACAACTATTTAAAATTGTCTGTATTATCACTAATTTATTTTTACTTTAAAGACATTTTTTCAGTGGAGTAAAACAGGAGAGTAAATCCAGAGCACTCAATTAATAGTAGCAACATCATTAACCTGATTTTTAAATATTATAATATATGAAATTCTCGTGTCACGGTGTGCGTAATTGAACTACTCCGAAACGGTTCGACCGATTTTCGTGAAATTTTATACGCATATTCAGTAGGTCTGAGAATCGGACAACATCTATTTTTCATCCCACTTAATGTTAAAGGTAGTCCACCCTTAATTTTTTTGTTGTTTTTTATGATACATCATACAACAATACATACAACCCTAAATTTTCACCCTTCTACCACTAAACCCTATTTTTATGGCAGTACGAAATTCGCTGGGTCAGCTAGTAATTATATAAAATAAAATCACTCGATGGAGCAATTCAAACAGTTAAAACTCAATCATTATATTATCTGACTGATAATAATTTAGACCCTTGATAATATGCGTTGGAGTAATTTGCCTTGTCCTTGGAACCACAGATGTTCAATAAATTGCATATTCAAAGGTGGTTTGGGACCACGGCACCACATCCACGACCACACACATCATCTGAAAATGATTCATGAATTCACCGTAACTAGTCCACTGATGGATGCACTTTCTTAGTTATGATTTGTACGAAATTGCATAAAATTTAATTTGCAATAAATTAGCTACACAAAAGTTAAGTTACACATAACCCCTTATTAATAAAGAGGAATAATTTTGGATTAGTTACGCCATGTTTTCTTCATATCACTCAAATGCCAATTGACATTCAATGAACAGAGACAAAATATGGAGTTACTAATCCAAGCTTATTCTATTTTTATTAATAAGGGGCTAAAAGTCTTATTTCAAAAGATGTCATGTGTTTATTATGTACTGTTGCGGTATTGTTTATTTATGAGTAGGTACGCAAAATCTGCAAAATATTTATAAAATACACCTTTTCACTTTACTCATAAACATTCTGTAATTAGCTGCTTTCATTGAATTTGTATGTTATTTCCGGAGTGTGAATAAAATAACATGCCCTGAAACTGGGATGACGGATAACTAATTAATATTATATTGTATATTTTTATTATAATTATTATGTTTAATGTTATAAATTATAATTGGTTACTCATTTAAAACAATTGTCGATTTACGAAATAAATAGGGCAAAGTTCTTACGCGTTTTCAATTTTTTTTACTACCCTTTTCAGTATTAACAACGCTTTTGATGTTTTCAGCAGTATTGCTGTAGGTTTGCTGAATTATGTGTTTTTTTTCATATTACATAATCCATGCTTTTACGAATATTGTTTCATTAACCGCGAAGAAAATAAATATCGTATTTCTTAGTTTATCCTACAATACCTAATGTAAATAAGAATTTAATATATAAAAATATCTTGTTGAGTTACGAAAAGGAAGTTAAGTATTGAATGATTGTGTGTCACTGTTTTAGTAGGAATGGAAACAGATTCTCTGTTTTATTATAAAACTTTGGCTTTTTAAATAGTCAAGTATACTATACGTTAATTGTATTATAATTTTTGAAAATTTCAGATTTAGATTGTGTTATAATTTAAAAATGTCAGATTTAGACCTGCCAGTTGATTATCAATTACAAAATTGGTGTCGTGTAACAATAGAATGTGTTTTTTTAATTTTACACAAATACAATTTATTATCATCGTTCTAAAAAAAATATAATTAGTACCTATATACCGATTATATTTGAATTAACGTGAATCATTTAAAAATCACACGCATAACGCGATGTTTACCGTAAAAAGTTTCACAAGAATGTTCATGTTCAATGAAGAAAGTTTACTTTCTTAAGAAGGGCGGGCCAGTAGGGCGGAATGTCCGCCCGATCTCCCGCCCTCCTATTGACATTCACAGAACCACTTAAGAAGTGCGAAAAACTTTGGAGCACTTTTCAATGTCACGGAGTTTCCTCGTGTTTGGATGAACAAAAACTTTAACAGACTGGGAGATTGCTGAGATGATAAAATTCAACTTTGCGAAGTTTTGAGTTTGGTATGCGGTTGAATTTTTGTTGCGTTTAAGAATTTATAAAAGATACTTTCGTTATCAATGTTAACACATAACTGCACCTTAGGCACTCACCGCGCCCGCTGCGGCCGACGAATCTCAAGTCGTTAAATTTCGCCACTTGATTCTTCATCACCGCCGAGCTGTTCCTCAACTCCGCGCAGCAGTTCTCGTCGTTGCCCGCTCGCACTGTCACAAGAGTCCCGTCGCCCACATCTCCCAAGGCGACCACTTTAAAAGCGACCGGCAACGTTTTGTTCGATCGCCAGTGCGGAGGCAGCACCGTGCACACGAAGTGGGGACTGCCCGTCCGAACCAGTTCCCCCGGGTGTTCGGACAAGAAGTCGCCCAGCGTCCGCTCTGCCAGGATGTCGGATGTCATCTTTGTGTAGGTCTCGTGGAGGAGCGTGGAGCTGGTGTCGGGCGACACGGTGCCGGTGCTCGCGCCCGTGAGGTGCATCCTCGCGACGCGCGCTCGCTGCGTGCTGCACATATAGTCCAGGCCCGCGGCGGCTACATGTCACGCGTCCCGCCGCGCCGGCAGCCACCGCGAGCACGCGCCGCCTTCGCTGAGCACTGCCATCTCGCACTTCCACTCACTTCCTACACGACTCGTTGCTAGGGAACGAGCGCGTGGCCACTTGACGCGGTGACGTCACGACGGCCTTGCCACACTTTTTTCCCCTGTGAATGAAAAGTTCGGCGGGCGGCGTGCGAGGGACGCGAGGGGCCGTTTTTTTCCGACGCCGCCGAGGGGTGGCACCCCCGCGCAGCGAAAAACTTTTCACTAGTTTCACTGACTGCGGCACTTTTTTTCGGTGCCGGCCGTGTGTTTACGCACGCACGGAGCTCTCACTTTCGATGCGGTCGCGTTCGACTAGGTATTTATGGAGTCCGTTTTCGATTTTGTGTAGCGCGAGTGATGAACTGTTTACGCAAAGGTGCAAGTGCGTGTGGTGCGTGCTGCCGCGAGCTCGGTCGTGATGCGACTCGCGTGGGGTGTTGCGGTGGCCGTCCACGGTGGCTATTAATACGCGGCGTACGTCCGCGCCCGTCGACTTCGGACAAAGTTTCGCGGGTGAGTCGGTGCGGCTCCGCGGCAAGAGAGGCGGCGACGGCGCGGGCGCGACGGGCGGCGGAGCGCACTTTGCGGTCGGGGTGGGTTGGGTTTAAAGCCGCCGAAGGATAAAACATACAAATAAACACGTGTTCGCGCCGGCGCGAGCGAGAGGAGCGCCCGAAGCGGCAGTGCGAGCGGGACGGCGTAGCTCTTGCGGCATTTAGCAGCCAGCCCGATCGCCGACGAACGCTCGTCGAACGCCGCGCCGCAGTTGCAATAGTAATCACAGTTAGCAAAAGTTGCCTGAAAGTTTATCAAGTGAATGTAACATAATTTTATGCGTATAATTTAAAATGTTGAGCGACAATATAAAACAGTTTAACGAATAAGTGCATCCAGAATTACCATTTTAATTATATTATGTAACAGTGGAGCAAGTGAATTCTATTCCTGATTTACTTGATTTAATACCACACATTGTTAAATAAGAATTTTCATCTAAAAATAACTAATTTATTGTTTTCTCGGATAATAATCGTTCTATAGGCGTAAACATTGAAATAATTGACTACCTTACAAATAGACAGTATGTGAATATAACAGCTGTGATCAGTGAATCTTTTGTAAGAAATGTACTCCAGGAGCAAGAGTGCAAAACTTAGTAGATTAATGTTCTAGAGATAATCTGGAACTTATTCTAACAAAATATTAGTTTATATTAAAAATTTCTATCTCATCTCTTTAACTAAATAATCTAAAAGTTACTTTACCTTTATGAATAAGCAGAATAAAAAATATCTTTCGAGACTTAATTTATAACACCTGAACTGAATCTGCAGGTAATTAGGGTTATATACATAATATACACTATATTCAATCTGATAAAAAATAATACAGTGTGATCATATTTGGGTGAGAAAAAATCGTCCAAAAATCATGTTTATAAATTACGGGCCTTCCTTACAATTTTTATTTTATTAAATGTGACTATTAATAGTAATAGCAGCAATAAAAATACCTACATCACAAGTTCAAGATAGCTAATACTATAGATATAGTATATATACACATATGTATTTGGTAATATATATATATATATATATATATATATATATATATATATATAGAGAGAGAGAGTTGTTATATATATATATATATATATAACAACTCTATTTTGATTGCTGCTATCACGACTAATAAAATAAATATAATATAAATCACACTGTTAAAAAAATTTCATTAGATATATATTATTTAAATAACATAACATCCACAAGCAAATACTGAAGGTGTTTTACAGCTGCACTAACTTGCTTTTAGTTTTAATGAGAGCAGCAGTAACCTCCGGCAAAATTATTATTGTATTATTTACTCACCACCAGTTATTTCGGTCAATAATTACTAAAGTTATGTAGTATTCTATTGGTTCAAACGCCCTCCTTTCCTCTATACAAGCAGATAAAAATCATATCAATCCACTTATCACAATCCTTACATATTTCTTACTCTAGTTTTTAGTTCAAACTGCTATAATTTACGTTTTTTAAACTTTAAAGATTTTCATAAAATACGAAAAAAGTTCGTTTGCTTGCTATGGTCATTGAATAAAATGATTACATTCCGATCAAAATAATAATGAAACACCAGCTGTCCATGAAATTAAATTAAAACCGTTTAATCACCCGAGACTTATAACAGAATTGAAAAGTTACAAAATAAGAACATAAAAAGTTATGAATAAACAGGTTAATCACTTGAAAATTGACCTAATGGTTCAGTATACTATGTACTGCACTTTGCTTACACTCACCTTATGCTGAGTGTAAGCAAAGTTCAGTTAGGAAAATAGCTGAGGTGGCAGAAAATACATGCCACATAATATTTTACGCTATAATGTCTTATATAACAACACCAAAAATAAATAAATAAACTACAGTTATCATTAAAATACAAAATTCAATGAGTTAGAATTATTTCTACATTCTTATACCGTTTAATAAAAAACAAATTCACTATCTCTAAAACTAAAATACTCGTGTTCGACATATCCACCTCTCATCACATTCTACACAATAATCCTTATCTTTTGGCAACAAGGTCACTTTTGCGATGTCACATCCTACGTGCCGAAAATACCTAAGTGTGAAGGGTTCTAATAGAGGGGGTGCAAACTCTGTCAATGCATTGTTGCCCAGAATTTATTGCTTGCACTGTACCGGCTTGCGTAGCACGCATATAACCTGCTACGAATATCTGCACTACGGGACTACGAGATTACAGTGTCGTGTAGCATCGAATTACACAGCGAATAAAGTGTTGAATTAATTAAAGTGCCAAAAATGGACAAAGTGGAGCGAATACATTAAAGGTGATTTAATATTTGTAACTGACTTTCATGGTAGGGACACATAATGGTATGAGAGACACGTGTAGAATAAGGAATTGAACTTAAATATTTTACCAGGTCTATATATAGGAGAGGAAAGCCAAATAAAAGAGGTACGAATTGTGTAGAAGAAAAGAATGAGTGTTGTGATGATTATATATTGTGATGAGCAAGGGTGGATCCAGAGGGGTCATGACCCCCCCCCCCCCCTGGGCTGGGTCCATCTGTACCCACTTCACAATCTGTACTTCACAATCTGTACCCACTGTAACTTGACCACGACTATATGACCCCCTCCTGGCGCCAAAGCTGGATCCGCCCTTGGTGATGAGTAAAGAGCGGTAGGACTAAACACATCATTCAAATAAATTAGAAACATGTATTTTTACAAGCGATATAAAGTTATGTATTGTTTAGGGTGTATTCAAGAAGTCAACAAATTAATTATATTGAACAATAGCCCTCAAAGCCGAGGACGTAATGAAGCTATGCAGATCGGTCGGTCCATTCTCCAAATATTGATGGAGGCCTCTGTCAATTAGGGTTGCCGGAAATTATAAATTTGCAATAAAAGAAACCGACGTTTCTCAAAAATATATTCTGTTAAAATTAAACCATAAAAATAAGGCTGAATATAATTATTGTTGAAGCACTCATAGTGACACATATCAACTAGACAATGCTGATCGTAGGAAAGGATTAGTTTCAGATTCATATTTTTTACTCAAAATACCTAAGAATCGTACTAATATTATAAATTTGAAAATTTGTATGTTTGTTACTCAATTACGCAAAAAGTACTGAACGGATTTGCAGGAAATTTGGTATGCTTACATGATATGATCTGGATAGAGACTAGACACTTTTTATCCCGGTAAAACATTAGGTTCTTGTGGGATACTCAAAAAAACTGAAGCTGATGCGGAGGAAGTCGCGGGCGGTCTCTAGCGTTTTTAATAAAAATATTAATTTACAGAATAATTATGACATTCCAATCTGTTTGTGAGCAGTGTCATTTCCAATACAGCACAGATCACAGCAGAAATCATCCTTAAATCGAAATTTTCTTTACAATACCTCAACCAGTCGACCCTGTTTAAAACGTGAAATCCAACCTTTTATTTAAGTTCGGGCACACAAGGGCGCATTGTTTGCGAGCCGAGGGCAAGGGATGATAGTTCAACAACCTTTCTCTGACCAGCTCTAACGGCGCGGCGATCGTAGGAATTATGCTTTGAGGATTAGGTACAACATTGTTTTAAAGCAGCTTCAAATTTCCCACTGCACCGGGAAATACTTTATTGAAACAGAAGGGGTGAACATAAGCATGGAATCGTACACAATTGTTTAAAACCTTTAATGACCTTAAATAGTGGGCCAGGAGTAGGGTTACCATTGATTAATTTCACAAGTCCTGACAATGCAGAAAAGTCCGGATTTTATAAGCACAAAATGGAAACATTACTCACTTAGCTACTACCGACAATAGTATGATATTTGACTTAATATGTAGTTTTATTTACATATAAGTACTATCTAATTTTAAAAAATCCGGAAAATTTGTATAGGCTGACAAAGTCCTGGCTAGAGGTTAAAAGTCCGAACTAGAGGTTAAAAGTCCGGAAATGTCCGGTCTAATCCGGACGGATCGTAATCCTAGCCAGGAGTGAAGTGAAGCGTTTGTGTTTTGAATCTAGTCACACTGGTTTTGAATCTGGTCACTCAGATATGAGAATGCAGCGGAATCCATGCTGGCCTGGGAGTGTAAATAAATCACATAATACGTCTACATAAACATTACATATTTACTTGGAAATTTCTGTTAAGGTGGGCTTGCAAACTATCACTACTGTTTGCGGACAACATTTTAGTAACATTGAATGCCAAAGGTAGCGTTGCTATGTGGCTATGTATTAAGGTGAAGTACTAATAATCGAGAACAGGCCCGAGACCTTTCGTGTTTTGTCATAACTTTCATACATTCTTCACATTTTATCATACTTTTAGTATAAATAAGTATGTTTATAACACAAAAATAGAGATCGAGATGTAAGCTATAAACAGTGCGGATGGGCGGTAGGGATGTCGAAAGTTGAAAAAAATATCGATATATCGATACATCGATCTTTTAAAAAATATCAATATCGGCTTCGATATATCGCGAAAAAAACATCGATATATCGATATATCGGACCAATTTTCCCAAAAATATCGTACAGTAGCTCACGAAATATGACACGCGGAATAATAATGGAACGAAAATTATCTCCCTAAAAATAGACCCAATTTTCGAATGATGCAAATCATTAATCTGAGATCCAGTTACGATTTTTCCAGATACGAATTTAGTTACATCGTGATATGCCGCTAATAATTAAAAAATATCGTTTTGATACGAATTTCGATATTGGTTATTTTGTATCGATGTATCGATATATCGAATCAAAATATATCGGCAAAAAATATCGATATATCGAACAAAAAATATCGATATATCGATACATCGATATATTTTCAACAAGCCTAATGGGCGGGTATTCAAATCTGCTAATATACCTCGGGCCGTTGCGTCACCGTGCCTTCCAAAGTAGGGAATAGTAGGTAATTTATGAGATTAGTGCAGTAAGTTGGTTATTATAAACGAGTAGACG